ATGTTCAAATAATATTGTTGAACTTAATTCAAAATGTTGATATTGCTATCAAAATGTTATATTAATATTCTTAGAATATACATTTGTTATCTGGGACGATGTGTTTGGTGATATTGTATTTGTTGGCACTTGAACATAGGCATGGTTTTGAGCATTTTTTTTAGAAAATTGTGGAGATGGTGGTGAGGTCAGGTAGTGTGATGTGGATGTCATGTCTCTTGGTTCTTGTACGTATTGGTTATTTTGAGCTGCATTTGGAATAATATTTTGATTTAATTGCTGATAATATGTTGGCGATGTTACAGTAAAATATGGCACTGTATGTGATTTTTTTTCTGTTCTTCGTCTAAGATCATTTTCATTTCATACTCTTGGACTATTGAAAATATTTTGGATTTCACTAAGTTTAAATAATACGGTGTGAATGTCTTAAGTGTTGGTGAGAGGCCTGCCAAAAAAGCATCAACTGGATTATTTTGAGTGACATTGGACATATTATTTTCCTTTTTTTGCATAATATATTTCATCAACGTGGTTGAGGCCGAATCTGGCGTTTTAATTGTTGAACGTTTTTGAATCAATTTTTGAACTGGCTTAGACGACCGGGTTTGATCAACATTTTGCAATTGCTCACCTTCTATATCGTTGATGCTCTCGTCAATTTGAACTGCAGCGTTTTCATTATCGTTTTCATTTTCATTTTCGTCTACGTCATCATTGAAAATTTCTACGTTGTCTTCATTGCCAACTACATCTTCTATGTTTCCCAAAGTGTCTCTTTCTTGTAGATGTGGTTTTAGGAATTGTAGCTGGTCATCAAATTTATATTTTTTCACTTTTTTAGCGGCTTGCCCACTTGTTGTTTTTTTTATGGATTTTCGATAATTATCTCGGATATTGTTCCAACGAGTTTTACACATTTTTCCTATAATTACATATTGATACTATAATAATAAAACAACTAGTGTATTTTATTATAATGATATTAAGTTAAAAATAGATAATACAATTATATATTATTGTACCTACTACATGTTTATTACTAGGGCCCGGATTTATATGCATTTGCATGTTTTTTTTTTTAACAGTACAAAGAGTAGCTAAATAAGCTACAAGTTTGAATTATAGTCAATAGATCCGGAATACATAATTTTATTTTGTATATTTTTTGCATATGTAAGTGCATATTTGAATGATAACCAATGTATAAATCCATACATATTTCGTATGTTTTTAGTACTTACACATAATTCCGGGCCTTACTTATTATACGTTATTTTATATTTTACACATCAATAATATCATAAAGAAAATATTTTTATTACGTATTTATTCATATATTTACAATTAAATTTAAATCATAATATTTATAAACTAAAACTAACTATTAAATTTAATTTTATAATTTTTATGTAATTAAAAAAATATAGGTACCTATATTTGATGTTTCAGATTTTTGGCTACGGGAGATTCCTTTAAGACAATTTCATTTAGTTATCGTCTAGGTCATACAACTGTTTATAGAATTGTAATTGAAACTTGTAAGAGTATAGTAACAAATTTAATGCCAGAAGTAATGCCACAACCCACAGAAGAAAGATGGAAACAAATTGCAAATGATTTTTGGACCAATAGGAATTTTCCGAATTGTATAGGTGCATTGGACGGAAAACACGTCACTACTCAAGCACCACCAAATACTGGTTCAAATTTTTTTAACTATAAAAAAACATTTTCTGTCGTGTTACTTGCATTAGTTGATGCACAGTACAATTTTATAGCCGTAGATGTGGGTGCTTATGGAAAAAACAGTGATGGCGGAATATTAGCACACTCTAACTTGGGAAAATCGTTAGAAAATGGTTCGTTAAATATTCCAAAAGATGAATTTTTACCTGGAACAACCATTTCTGCTCCATACGTTATATTAGGAGACGAAGCGTTTCCTCTGAAAACGTACTTGATGCGACCATATCCATAGGCGGTCCTACGGGTGCAGCCTCTGCAGCCTGTGCTGCACCTGACATTACAACCACCACTTTATTTTATTGGTTGAAATCATATAACTATTCATAACTCATAAGGTAGATATTTTATAGTTTATATCTTTGTTATTTCACGATATATTGTTCTGATCATGAACTTAGTTGTTACTTTGTTAGTTTCAGTGTTGGATAGTAACGTAACGAAGAATACAAATTACTATTGTAGTAG